AAGAAACCTTATTTTGCGAATTAGCGCCCCTCAACTGATCATCGAGCCCCCACACTTCACCTTCTTCCCATATCAGCCCCCTCCCCATTTCGAGACTAGATACGCCACTGGCTGCACTGTTCTTGATCAATCGTATACGACAAAATTTATAAATGTATGATTCCCAGGTCGGGAAGAGTTGCGCCTTTCCTAACCCACCACCCCCCGCCCCCCCCCCCCCTTCCTTTGCGGAGAAAAACCACAATTCATCGGGGAGAAAATATATGTATATGTATTTCCTAAATTTGTATTCCTAAATTGTTAACATTTTTGAAACACTTCAGGAGATTTTGAGCGACGTCAGGCCACGCCCACTTTTTTGTCGGGGATATTGAGCCCCCGTCGGGGACCTTTGACCCCACTTTGGGCAAATCCTGGTGCAACCCCTGCTTGGTGGCTGTTGATTATATTTGAATTAGTTTGGATGTAGGTTTTTCAGTTTACTGAATTATGTGATTATTTTGAATCAATTTACAGCTTGGATGTAGGTTTTTTTTTGCAGTGCTTCTTCGGTATATCTTTACTGAATTATTAAGCTTATATCTAATTAGTTTACTGAGCTTGGATATACGTTTTGCTAGTGCTTCTTCAGTACATCTTTACAGAATTAATGAGCTTATTTTTAATTAATTTATAGCTTGAATATAGGTTTTCCATAGTGCTTCTTCGGTACATCTTTACCGAATCATGTGGTTATCTTGAATCAATTTACAGCTTGAATATAGGTTTTCCATAGTGCTTCTTCGGTAGGGCCTACATCTTTACCGATTTATGTTGTTACTTTGAATCAATTCCCAGTTTGGATGTAGGTTTTCCGCAGTGCCTCTTAAGTTCATCTTTACCGAATTAATGAGCTTATAATTAATTAATTTACAGCTTGTATAGGTTTTCCGCAGTGCTTCTTCAATACATCTTTACCGAATTAATGAGCTTATCATTAATTAATTTATAGCTTGGATGTACGTTTTCCGCAGTGATTCTTCAGTACATTTTTACCGTTAGTTTTTCCTGGATGTTACTCGAAGGTGTTTACCTTCTAATGGTTTCTCACAGCAGCCTAATTCGAAAGAACCCACAGACGAGCATCTACATTGCAGTCGGCTGGGGTAGGTATAAAGAAAGAGGAAACGATATACCCACCTAACTAGAATGGTGTTAATAATATGTTTAGTAACCCCCACAATTGCTTAAAACAAAATTAATTTGTCGCAGTCAATTCACTGCTTTTAAGACTAGTTACAAATTCCTTTTTTCCCATTGAATTTTATCTGTCAAATTTCCATTTCCATTTTTAAATTGTTGTTAACCTATTTCTCAGGACGACAGTGCAAATCAGAAACATTGTTAATAGCTGATTTTGTTATCCTGATAAAATATACACAATAATTGTAAAATGTCTTATAGATTTGTTGGTTGACTGACTAAACTGATTGAATGACTGATTGAGTGACTGACCCAATTAGTAATTGATTGATTGACCGTGGACATGTGGCGCCTTCTAAAGATATCGAAGTCGCTTATTAATATCTGACTGATTGACCGATTGGTCTGACAATCAATAGAGCAATTTCATATATTCAATTCAATTCATCAACATTTATCTCAATTAATTGTAATTCATAATTGCACACAATTGCAATAGTATTTGTAAATGACGTGTGGATGATTGGATGATTTGTCATTTGAAAGATTGGATGATAAATTTATTAAATGTTGGAATAATTTATTGATTGATTTTGAAATAATTTCATTGGTAAACTGAAACTTAAATAATACAAATACCGATTATTTATTAAGTATTGTTATCATGTTAATATATTAATCTCAACAGCAACGCCGTTAGTCTTCGTTGCAATACCATTCATATACACTCCTTCAAGCTATGGTTCCGAAGAAGCGTAAGATACGTTAATACGTTTTGTATAATGTTAATGTCATTCACGTTTAAGCCTTAATGATATATAGGCGTCTGAAGATAAGCCGTAAAATTATAGAAAGTGTTTAGTCTGAAGTTAAAAAATTGTCCTGAATTCAGAACACTATCTTGGCTAAACAATATAATACTGCATAGGTATATGTATAGAACTTCTACTTTAAACTCTTTTAAAACCAAGCTAAAGACTTTTCTTTTCCATCAAGTTTTTTTTTTTTTATTAATTTAGCATGACATCCTTATTCTGTTTTTTATGTACAGCGCATTGAGAGCTTGCTTACTTTTGCTGTATAAGAATATTATTATTATTATTATTATTATTATTATTATTATTATTATTATTATTATTATTATTATAAATAATATTCAATCTTTTTGCAAAACATTCAGATGCTGGCTTGACACAAATGTTATTTGGGCTTTTGTTACACCGATACTTTTCGTTATTGCTGTAAGTACGTAATGTTGTATGAATGAAGGCTTACAACTACCTAAAGTTTTACTTGAATTTAATTGAGTTCGTCACATATATATAATATATATTCCCAGTTGCGTAAATGAATTACGGTACAATTCTATTTTTCTTACAGGTGAACGTTTTTGTACTTACGGCTGTAATAAAGATATTTTTGAACCTAAAGGCAAACTCATGCAAATCAAAAAAACACCAACTAAGGTAATAAGCTTACGTCTTCATAAAATTGCAAATTTAAAAGTAAGTCAACCCCTTAATAGCTATTAAAAATAATTTCTAAAAATAGAGAGCTAAATGTTTCAAAATGTTTTAATTTATTTATTTTTTTATTGATTTTCTTACAAGCATTTTTGGGCCTAATTAAAAGTAATTAAGGCCCAGTTTTCATAAAATCGCTGCCTTTCACTACAACATTTATATTTAACTTTTTACACTGCTCAGCTGTCCCAACGCGATCGTGAAGGCATTCCTATTCGATCGACAAATCACCGTGGCCAAAATGTATCGGCCTTAGTTGTCCGACTACCGTAAGAACTAAAATCTATGCCATAATCAAACTTTCCATTTTCAGATCCAGCATTCGGGCAGTGTTGCTGATGCTGCCTTTAATGGGGCTGACATGGATATTTGGATTGGTGGCGTCCTTTGACAAATCCAACTTCTTTGCATACATGTTTGTTATCTTCAACTCTTCTCAGGTACATACACTAACCTTGCAGATAAACGTTTTCGTCAATAAACACATGTACTTTTTCTTTTAAAAAATAGTAATTTGAAAGTTTATGTAAGGAAAACACGTTTTCTAAAGTCATTCATAAAACGTTAAGTGAAAATTATACTGTACATGACCATTTAAATCGTAATTTTCTTTGTTTGGCCCTTGATGGCACTTGTAGCAAAACTGAATTTAATATTCTATAATTCAATTAAGTTGTTGCCGAATTTAATCAATTGTATTTTTTTTTATTAGTTATGTTTGTTTTTCAATTTATTTGTGTAATATTTTTTAATCCTATGTAGGCCTATGATTGTATATATTATGCGAAACCCAAATATGTTTTTGATTATTTGAGCTTACCCTGGGTACAGTAAATATGTAATAAATACGTACGCCCTCTGCATTAATGAACAACGAATAATACACATAGGGTGTTTGTAGGAGGTTCCAATATTTTGCTTTATGATTAAGGGGTAAGTTTCAGAAATGTTACTTTACTCATCCTAGATCAATATGTTCCAAGCAACTAAATGTTACGTTGATCCATGCATTGGCTTTTGCGTAATCCTGCGTACATACAGAAAGGAGAGTAGATAGCCTTCCTAGTGGAGGTAATAATAAATACAAATATGTTTTAATGTTACAGGGAATATGCATATTTTTGCAACTCATTGTCTTCAACGATGAGGTAAGAAAATAATAAATTATTTTATTACAAAAACTAAGTCTTTGAAAGATTAGTCGTTTATGAGATCGAAGGCAGTAATTACGGTACGTATTTTGTATATTTTCAGATCAGAAAGCTTTACAAGATGAGATATGTTCAGCGTGGCACCAATTCAACATTCATAACGTCAGCATCTTTTGCGAGTGGTCATCAGACAAAAAAATCATTTCTCACATAATTATTTGTTCACCCACATAGCTGTTTCTATGTATAAAAGGTATATATATATATATATATATATAAGAGAGAGATATATATATATATATAGAGAGAGAGAGAGAGAGAGAGAGAGAGAGAGAGAGAGAGAGATACAAGCTAAATCACCTTACTATAAGAATACAACACAGTAAAAATAATGTATTTGTGAAATCGTAATTCAATAATTCTTTTAAATAATACAATACATTTCAATCAGTATATAATAGATAAGATATTTTGTGACAACAATTGCATAAACTGGAGTTTAAATGTAAGTCATCTGCGTATAATATACATACACTTTAAACAAATAATCCACTAAGACAAGTTGGATTAGACGAATCTTCCTTTACTCTTATGCACATTTTCGGGATAAAACAATGGTCTTAGTTGGTATTATAGTATTTATCATAATAGTTAATTGTATGTCTGCCCACAGATGAGGTAGCCAGCCAACTTCGATATAAACCGTGATAACGCATACACTATATTATTTTGAGTGCTACATTTCGTCACTGACACCACGAAGAGACACAAACTTCAAAGGTGATATTTTCAAAATTTGTCATCTTTGAAATTGTGATTATGTATATCGAACTTTACCTTTTCGGCTAATTTATAAGAGTGCAACTACACTAATTAGCTTTTAAAAAAAAGAAAAATTGATTTTTTTTTTTTTTTTTTTTTTTTTTTTTTTTTTTTTTTCACGAGCAGACACAAACTTTCAGTGGGTTATTAAAAGAGGTGCGTGCGGCATTGCAATCGTTGTGATCGCTAGGTAAGGCCTGTCTCGGTTTCGGCTAGATGTAAAGATTATATTTTCCTAGCTTACCTAGGCATAGCGGTACCCTTCTTGCAGTATGACTTGGAATAAGTCTATACACGTGCATCAAATGTGGAATTATTAGTGAAAACATAATGATTTAATCAGGATAAGCCGGGTTTGTAGGCCTGTTTTCGCCCTTGACTACAAGTTAAACCATAGCTAAAATAGGCCTACAGTTTGTGCAAGTTTGTGCCTTAACAACTGGAGCGGGTACAGCGCGTACCGTTTTTACGAAGTGACACAAACTTCACTCTACGTGTAAACAACATGTTAGCCTGGTTCTCACGAGACCCCTAGTACCCGGATCGGGAGCTAACCGTTAGCGCTAACCGTTAGCACCTGCGTGAGAACGCCCGATCGGTTAGCGCTAATCGTTAGCGGTATCCGGATACGCTAACGGTTAGCAAGCGCTACGGTATCGGTTAGCAAGTTGAGAACGTTTCTATCATCAACCAATCACACGTACGCGTTTACTATTTCCAGTTTAACTTATTGGCCAGTGATTCGATCATCATATTGTTGGTATCCGGATCGGGATTTTCTCGCATGGACGCACGGTACGGCAGCTAACGGTTAGTAGTAGGATCCGGATCCTGCTAACCGTTAGCTGCCGTGTGAGACCATAGCCACGATGTGCTTATTTTGATCGTTTTTAAGAAAAGACAAACTTTTTACGCTAATTAATAGGTTAAATAAAGTTAAGAAAAGAAAGAAAAATTAAACCATCTGAGTTGTTTAATTTTTTTTCTTTAAACATATGTAAAAAAAAAATTAAAATTTCGTCGGTGAAAGTTACGGATTTGTAAAGTAGTCCGCTTCAAACGTTTTTTTCTCAAAACGTAGTTTTCGTGGAAATTGAAGTTTGTGTCTGTTCGTGAAAACTGTGACGATTTGTTTGATTTTATTTGTCATAATGTATAGTAGACTGTGAATGTCAATCAATGTTATAATTGAAAATTGACTTATAATACATTAAAATATTGGTTTTAAATTAGTTGAATGATTGTGGGTAGCGGGGTGCGATTTTTTTTCCTCGACGTCTCTGCCAATCCGTGTGGTGGCGCTATAATTTCATATGAATATTCATTAGCAAAGATCTTTCTCTCAACCGCGCTGAGATTCCCTTCTCTGCCGCTCTATTAATATCGCGTTGTTTTGAGTGGGTCCAAAGGTTGTCACGACCGGGTACAAGAGCTTTTTAACGATCGCGAACTTTTCGCCCATAAGTGAAATTAAATGAATCAATTTATTGATCAAAACGTAGGCCCTATACATTATTTAAAAACGTAAAGGACAACAATAAAAAGCTCAGAGGTTATACAAGACTGATGTCCTAAAATGATGAACAAAAACATGAGTCAAGTACAAATAAATAAACAAAGAAAAATAATATTATTATAATATTATATTACAGTAGCCTAAAATAATTAACATTAAAATGAAAAATCAGAATTTAAATCTTATTATTATAAATACAATTACAATTACATAAAACTTAAATTTCATTTATTGTTAATATACGCACTGGTGAATATGATCGATGAGATTATTGAGTGGACTAGCCTAGACTTAGGCTATATCCTAATACAAGTATTGGTCGTACGTGACATTGATTATGCAATAACCATCATAAACCACCTCGCAGCTAATTTACATTAAAATTTGTAAAAGATAAAACATCAAAATCAAAGCATAAGGAAAAAGGTACATCTAAAAAAAAAACAGTAATATAAAACAGGTATTTTATAGAACACAGAAATTAGAAAATAAAAAACCTGTAATGATTGAATTAAAGTTTTTTTTTACTGTATAATGACAATTATTATTATTGTTATTATTATTACTATTGATTTATTTATTTAAAGTTGAAATAAGTGCTGATACTTCACACGTCTTAGATTCTTTCAGTCACCAAATGTTCATTATTCGAACTACTAGTAATCAAACTTCTGTAATAAAACATGTAATAAATAAAGTTTATATTTTATTTATAATAGGCTTATTATTAGTACATGAATATTTTATTTTTATCTCCCAGGTATAACTTATTATACACCGTTGCTTTTTTAATGTACCGGTACTTAATAAAACATAAACATACTAGACATAACACATTTAAAAAGTACTACCACATTGGTACACTGGCATACGTCTTGACGTCTTGCGCCCATCCTAAAGCTATTTTTAAGGCCTTCCGCCCAGCCTCATACATACATACAAATTCTCCCACCCCCTTTAAATCATGAAGAAACACAAGTTTTTGCTCCATAAACCGTATTTTCAGGTGAATAAGCCCTCGAAGTTTGGGGTGCGGCCTATACATCGCTCGTTAAACCTACTCCCAAAAAGTTCAGATCGCGAACCGCAGCGAAAATTAGGCGCCGTCTGTCTAGCCCAATTAATTGGCCTAGGCTTTGAAGGGCTAGTATTTGTAATTTTACTATACTCACTATACAGTGCTGTACTGTGATTCCTACTACATTTTCTACGACAATCAAGCAATGGTTTGGGTTGTTTAAATAATTATTTTCATAGTTACGTTCACTCAAACAATTTTAAAACACGTTTTATTCGAAATCGCTTCGCTCAAAACAATAAATAAGCTTCTTTTCTATGGGGTGCCATACGCAGCAAAAGTCCATGTTAAAATCAAAATGTAATTGCAAAATTCAATGTCTGATTTATCAAAACGTAGGCGTAAATTTCTCAAAATGTAAATCTAGTTTCCCAAAATGAAGTTCTAATTTTTCAAAACGTAGTTCAAATTTTCCAAAATGTAGTTCTAATTTCTTTAAAATGTAATTCAAATTCAAAACGTAGGTCTGAATTAATCAAACGCCTCTCCAAACTCTATTCCAAAACGTAAATAAAAAACCAGGCTGGTTTGAAATGCATTTGACAACAACACTAGAAATGGACTTTTGCTGCGTATGGCACTAGTACGGAAGCTTAAAGTGACCTTCCGAGTTTCCGAGTTTCCAAGATAATTATCATGGAAACACGGAATAAAGCACTTATTAAGACGTCTTTCCGAGATAGATTATCTCGGAAAGACGGAATTCCAAGATAATTTACTTTGGAAAGATGGATTTCCAAGATAGCCTATCTTGGAAAGACGGAATTCCAAGATAATTTATCTCGGAAATACGGAATTCCAAGATAATTTATCTTGGAATGTCGGATTTCCATGATAGCTTATCTTGGAAAGACGGAATTCCAAGATAATGTATTTCGGAAAGATGGAATTCCAAGATAATTTATCTTGGAAAGACGGATTTCCATGATAGCTTATCTTGGAAAGACAGAATTCTAAGATAATTTATCTTGGAATTCCGTCTTTCCCAGATAGGCTATCTTGGAAATCCGTCTTTC